AAAAAAAAAAAAAAAAAAAAAAATATATATATATATATATATATGAGCCCTTAGGATGGACATAAATGAGCTGCGTAATAATATCTTCTACTAAGTATTAATGAGGTTCTTTAAAAGTTACTTTCAAGTGTAGACTTTTTTCAAGGGGTTCCAACATTGGTGTGATTTCCCACAACACACATGAATTGGTTGTTGCCTTTATTACTGCATTGGTTTTACACACACACACATATATATATATATATATGCAGAGCATACGTGTGTGACGTTACATGTTTACTTTTCATCATTTTTTTGCTGCTATGCTAATTTGATAATTTTACATCTTGTTGCTGTGAAGCATGAGTGGTGGGTATTGTTACGAAATCAGTTTTTCCATCTCTTTTTTCCTTGCTTAACTTGTCAAATTATATCTTCAACTTATCCATATCCATTTGCACATGATTCCCTTCTTTTTGGCAGATCTGGGACGTCCTCACGAATGAAGAAGCTGTGAACATAGTTGCATCAGCCCCGCGATCCACCGCAGCTCGAGCGCTAGTGGAATCTGCTGTACGAGCCTGGAGGTTTAAGTTCCCAGCCTCAAAGGTTGATGACTGCGCCGTAGTTTGCCTCTTCCTCAACCCAGGTTCAACCAATACTACCATTTCTACTGCAGATCACGAAGTGGTGCAGGACATGGTGAACATCAACAGTTGCAACGATGCTTCTGCTCTAGTTTCATTAGACCATTCAGAAACATCTGAAAAGCCTTCTGAGCACTCCGTCACAAAATCGGAATAAGGGAGTTAGTCGGTAAAAGAAGCAGTGGCGGTAGGCTACATTGAGGCATGAAGCATTCTTCCCTAAGCCTTGATTAAATTCACATTATTTGTGTCCATAACTCATCCATTCTTTTCAACATTAGATTTCTTAAATGCTGGGAGAAAGGTTGAAGTGGTATATTGAAGGTATTGTGGGGCTACGTTTAGTTTATTTTAAGAGAGACGTGGACCCAGTTTGTTCTCTTTTTTATTTTTTATTTTTTTTGAAGATTATTTGGGTGAAAATTTTCCTCTCTCCCAGCACTGTGAATTGGGTGTTTCTGTAAAAATGTGGGGTCTTGGAGATTTTGAGTTGTTCACCAATGTAAAGTGTGTTTGCGTCTCTATTGTTGGATTGAACATGCCTTGTTTTGTTGGGTAAATTCCTTTTTACTCGGTTCATTGGAGTTAGGTGGTTCTTTTTTTTTTTTTTTTTTTTTTTTTCCCTGGTAATTCAAAGACCACCTGATTTCCAGGTTTCCTTGCTTAATTTAGATATACTCGTTGTAATTTATGACTAAAAATAGTGTTACAGGGCCGTTCCCTCCCTCACTCTCTCCGAGTAAAGGATGCAAATGATAAATGCATCCTGTGAATGTTGATTTACAGTGTGTGTTTGGAACGGTTTTTAAAAACAGTTTTTAAGTAAAAAATAAAAATGAAAACAAAACGACGTTTGTTTAGTAAATATTTTAAAAACGAAAATAAAAATGAAAACAGTGAGAATGGTTATTGTGAAGTAATTAAAAAACAGTTGAAAGTTATTTTTATTTTTTTGTTTTCATTTTTTAGTACTTATCAATAATATTATAATATATTAATTAATATACACGATTTTAATTTTTTATTATACTCAAAATAATTTTTTAAAAATCAGTCAAACACAATTTGAAAATTAATTTTAAAATTATTCTCAAAATAATTTTATTTTTATTTTTTATTAAAAATAAAATTATTTTAAAACTTATTTTAAACTCATAGGGTTTGTTCTTTTGAGTAAAAAATTTAAAAAAATGCAACTCGAGTTAAAACTTTATTTGAGTTTACGTTCTTTTAAGTTTAAACTCGAGTTTAAACTCAAATTCAAACTCAAGTTTAAGACTAAAACTCGAGTTCAAGTTTCTCCTTCAACTCGAGTTCAGAAACTCGAACTCAAATTAATGAACAATATTTTTTCTATTCTTAAAAATACTATAATTTTTTCGTTTTAATTTTGATTGAGATGATTTTTTTTATGCGTTGACAACGAAAAGACGAATAAAACCCGACCTATATACCCTATTAAAATTTTTCATCAGCATTAAGTTTTTATTAAAATACTATCTAAATACAAATTCAAGTTTTGACTCACTTAAACACAAACTCAAAAAGATTCTTATATCAAACCATAACTCAAATGTACACAACCAAACACAAACTCAAGTTACAAGTTCAACTTAAGTTATAACTCGAATTCAACTCAAGAATTATACTCAAATTAAATTCTAAAAGAACAGGCCAATAGTTTCTCTTGTTTGCTTGAAAGAAAACATTGGATATTTTGGAGGAGCAGTGGATTGAAAAATACTTTATAACCCCGTTGGGTTACAATTGCACCATCTCGCAATGGGATCATCCGATTTCCAAACAGTGGGGTTGTAGCCCCTTAGGGACGGCAATATTGCTCCGGTGGATTAGGCTGTAATAGATGGCAAGTCTATACTGCACTCGAACTTTGAGGAATAATACTGTTTCCCTTTGCTACTACAAGAACATTGAGAAGAAATAAAGAGAAAAGAAAAGATGTAAAAAGAAGGGTAATTTACATAAATAGTCTTAAATTTTTTTAAAAAGTGACAATTTAATCTTTAGTTTTTCTTTTTTTTTAATAAAATGAATTCCAACCTCTTTAAAAAGGTATAATACGTTAAATTCTATTAAATTTTTAACAAAATTATGTGTAAAATATGTGATCTTATTAAAAAAAGTATTTTAGTAAAATACCAATAGAAGCTCTCCTCTCTATTTCTCTCTCTCATCTCTCTGCTCTCTCCTTCTCTCTCTTTTCCTATGCTCCTGTATCAAATTCTGCATAAATCCATCTCTATCTCTCTGCAACTCAATCAAACTCTTTTCATACTCTTTTCCTCCCAAACATCTCATCAACGGTACAAAATAATAACCATTTTTTTTATGAAATGGGTACTAGTAATTGTAGTATGCTTGATGAGAATCTGTCAAAAAAGCGGATCGAAGAGCTCGTTCAATGGCGGGATTTGGCGACCCAGCTGAAGCATTTTCTCAACAAGCCTGTTGGAGAACATGGGTCGGTCTTATATTCGGCTGAATTAGAACTAGCTGTTAGAAATCAAAGATTTGGTGAAAACCACCGCCTAAAAGTCAAGAACATTCATGTTAGATCATCAAGAATTAATAAATCTGTAAGCGGAAGCGTACCTGAATCCATATTGCTTGATTTCTCTCTAGAGTTGTGCAGTTTATCTTCCAGATCAACATGTTTTCCTAGAGAACCCTTTAACTTTCTCTCTGTACTCTTTCTGATGATGGGATGTAAGAATAAATGAAATGATACGTGTGATCTGGGGACCATAACTGCCATTTATTGATAACTTCCCTGTTATCTTTTGGTATTTCTATTTTAGCTCATCATAAAAATAGAAATTACCCTTAAGTCTCTATACATTAAAGGTTCACACCCTATTAGATACATTAAAGCCCAAAATACCTAAACCTTAGTAGATCACTTTTAATTAGGCTTAATTTTATATGACAGCCCACAACACATAATTATTTACATATAAGCCCAATGTTGGATTAAGGATCCAATAATCTCCCACTTGGGCTATATGTGTAACCTTATAATTATGCTTTGCAAAAATAACCGTATGAGCTCAACTTTGATGTCATTACCGAAATGTATATGTAACTAATCCGGTCCATCAATCATACCAACATAGGATCAAAGCGACATTCGTTACAACTGTCGTAACTCGACCCATCAATGGTCATGTATGCCAATACAACTAAATGACATAGATCATGATGTGAATGTGTAGCATGGAAATTTCATGTAATGTGATCTTAACATGCCTATTTTCAACTGGTCCACCTTAAACCTTAGTGAGATCAAACCATACCAAAATCAGAGTGTGAATAAACTAAAACTTTATTTCTGCAGAAAATAACCTCAAAATATCCATAAACTGAAATAACTGAAAATATGTTTATATCATAGAAGCATCTAAAAATACAAACTCCTACTAAAACTGAATATCCTGTAATGACATGACATCCATATGAGCAGTGTGCTTATGAAACACTTTGGGTGGCAATCCCTTAGTAAGCGGATCCGTAACCATGGAGTTTGTACCGATGTGCTCTATAGATAATTGTCCACTCTGAACTCTTTCCTTGACAACTAGGAACTTGATGTCTATATGCTTTGACTTCGTCGAGCTCCTGTTGTTGTTGGAATACATCACTGCTGACTTATTGCCACAAAATAACTTGAGTGGCCTTTCAATGCCATCCACTATACGCAGCCCCGTGACAAAATTCCGCAGCCATATTCCGTGATTGGACGCCTCATAACATGCTATGAACTCTGCTGCCATGGTAGAAGAGGCTATAAGAGACTGTTTAGTACTCTTCCAGGAGACAACACCTCTAGCTAGCAGGTAGATATAGCCCGACGTAGATTTCATACTATCTAGGCATCCAGCAAAATCGGAGTCAGTATACCCAACGATGTCAAGCTGATCCGACCTCCGATACGTGAGCATGTAGTCTTTTGTTCTCTACAAGTACTGCAAGACTCGTTTGTCTGCTTTCCAATGGTATACTCCTGGATTACTTAAATATCTGCCTAACATTCCAGTAACGTACGTAATATCCAGACGTGTACAAACCTGAGCATACATTATACTTCCTATTGCTGACGCATAAGGAATCTTCTGTATTTCCTTTTCCTCAAAATCATTCTTAGGGCACTGATGGAAACTAAACTTGTCTCCCTTAGCCACAGGGGTGTCACCTGGTTTGCAATTCTGCATGCCATATCTCTTGAGAACCTTTTTGATATAGCTCTTTTGTGATAATCCAAGAATACCCCGAGAGCGATCCCGGTGTATCTGTATGCCTAATACAAAAGAGGCGTCACCAAGATCTTTCATCTCAAAATTTTTAGCTAGAAATCTCTTGGTTTCGTGCAATAAGCCTATATCGTTGCTGGCAAATAAAATGTCATTGACATATAAAATCAGAAAAATATATTTACTCCCACAGAACTTATGGTATATGCAATCATCGACCAAATTCATCTCAAAACCGAACGAGATGATCACTTGATGAAACTTGAAATACCATTGTCGAGATGCTTGTTTGAGTCCATAGATGGATTTTCTAAGTTTGCAAACCATATTATTTGGATCTCCCGACACAAAGTTTTCTGATTGCACCATATAGATTGTCTCATCAATGTTTTCATTGAGAAATGTTGTCTTTACATCCATCTGATGTAACTCAAGATTGAAATGCGCCACTAATGCCATTATAATCCTGAAAGAGTCTTTTGAAGCAACCGGAGAGAAAGTATCTTTATAGTCGATGCCTTCCTTTTGTGTAAAGCCCTTTGCGACAAGACGTGCCTTATACCTCTCCACATCGCCTTTCGAATCCCTCTTAGTCTTAAATATCAATTTACAACCAATGGGTTTCGCTCCTTCTGGCAATGGGACAAGATCCCACACGTCATTGTCCTTCATGGATTTAATCTCCTCATTCATGGCATCAATCCACTTCTGAGAGTTAGAACTTTCCATGGCTTGACGGAAGTTGATCGGATCATCTTCCATCACTCCAATGTCTACCTCATGTTCTTGGAGAAATACAATGTAGTCATCTGGCACCGCACTTCTCCTTTCTCTAGTGGACCTCCTTAATGGCATAGGTTCTTGAGGTGGTAGAGTTTGTTCTTCTGGAACAACTTCTTGTATAGGAGGTTCTCTGACATTGTCTTGATTTGTTGTGTCTTGAACAATGTCAGAAATGAGATCCTGATTAATGTCAATAGCACTTGTGGGAATATCAACATATTCCTCTTCGAAGACAAAGTCCCTAACTGTATCTCCCTCGGTAAACTCAACATCCTCAAAGAACCGGGCATTTCCCGACTCAAAAATCGACTTAGTCGTGGGATCATAAAACTTGTACCCCTTGGATCTTTCAGAGTATCCAATAAAATAGCAACTCACTGTCCTTGAGTCCAGTTTCTTTTCATTAGGCCTGTAAGGCCTTGCCTCAGCTGGACATCCCCAAACATGTAAGTGTTTTAATCTAGGCTTCTTGCACGTCCAAAGCTCGTAAGGGGCTTTGGCAGTCGCTTTAGTTGGAATCCTGTTAAGGATAT